ATTTTTTGATAAAGTATCTACTGAGTTCATTGTTGTTTAGTCCTTAAGTCATGTCCGACTCTTTGTGACTCCATGGACCAGAGCATGCCAGGCGCTCCTGCCTCCCGGAGTTTGATCGAACTCACGTTGGTAGCTTCGATGACACTGTCCAGCCATCGTGTCCTCTGTCGCCCCCTTCTCCTCTTGCCTTCACACTTTCCCAACATCCGGGTCTTTTCCAGGGAGTCTTCTCTTCTCATGAGATCGCCAAAGTATTGGAACATCAGCTTCAGGATCTGGCCTTCCAGTGAGCACTCCGGTTTGATTTCCTTTATAATGGATAGGTTTGTTCTTGCAGTCCAGGGGACTCTCACGAGTCTCCTCCAGCACCACAATTCAAAAGCATCAATTCTTCGATGGTCAGCCTTCTTTATGGTCCTGCTGTCCCTTCCATACATCGCTACTGACTATGCGGACCTTTGTCGGCAAGGTGATGTCTCTGCTTTTTAAGATGCTGTCTAGCTTTGTCATCGCTTTCAGCCCAAGAAGCAGGTGTCTTTTAATTTCGTGGCTGCTGTCACCATCTGCAGTGATCATGGAGCCCAAGAAAGTAAAATCTGCCACTGCCTCCGTATCTTCTCCTTCTATTTGCCAGGAGGTGATGGGACCAGTGGCCATGATCTTAGTTTTTTCGATATTGAACTGAGTTCATACAGAAACATTAATTACCCTGTTTCCCCAAAAATAAGACCTAACCTGAATATAAGCCCAAGTATGATTTTTCAGGATGCTCATAATACAGTGGTGCCTCGCATAGCGAGGTTAATCCGTTCCGGATTAACCCTCGCTATGTGAAAACATCGCTAAACGGAACATAAAAACCCATAAAAACACATTAAACCCGATGTTTAATGCGTTCCAATGGGCCCTAAACTTACTGTTCAGCGAAGTTTCCTCCATAGCGGCAGCCCTTTTCGCGCCCTCGGTAAGCGAGGGGAGGGTGCGAAAATGCTGCGCGCAGCCATTTCAGGCGTCCGGCGGCCATTTTAGAACCGCCAAACAGCTGATCCGCGGGCATCGCAAAGCGAAGATCGGTAAGCGAAATGCTTACCAATCATCGCTATGCGAGTTTTGCCCATTGGAACGATCGGTATGCCTCCGCATTAGCGATCCCGAAAAGGGGATCGCTATGCGGATTCGTCGTTGTAAGGTGCGCTCGTTAAGCGAGGCACCACTGTATAAGCCCTACCCCAAGAATAATTTCCAGTTAAGTGAAACCCCGCTTTCCACCATTGTGCAGCAACCAGAAGATGACATTACTGTATTTGAATAAGTGTAGAGTGTTGTACATGCGAAAAAATAAAACATCACCTGAAAATAAGCCCTAATGCATTTTTGGAGCAAGAATTAATATAAGACCCTGTCTTATTTTCAGGGAAATATGGTAGCTACATGTTTAGCCTTCACTTACTGTTATGTAGAAAGGCTGTTTTCATTTATTAAATTATAGGATTGTGATTTCCCCTCTCAATGAAGCTCCTTTGTTTTTAACAGCTGCTATAGGTAGAGATTCAACAAGTGCAGTTCTTTCAGCCACTTCAACTTAATGCCAGGAAAGGCAGCACTGTTGAATTTCTCTCTGTCATACAAACGATATAAGGCAACTAAGTCTGCTGTTAAACACACACACACAAAATATGTTCTCTGCATGTGTTGTCAGTAATCTTAAAAGCACAAAAAAGCTCTGAACCGCTTTTGAAATTTTTTTACTGCCATTCTATACTACTTATTCAACAGGCTGCAAAGATATTTTCCCAAATGTATTTAATGTTCTAGATTTTCAGCTAAGCCAGAAAAATTAAGCCCTAATACATTTTAAAATATCAAAGCAAAGAGTCTATTAGAAACAAGAGATTCCTCCCCCCGGATTCTGATTGGTGGAATTTTCAGGAAGTGCCTTCAGTTTCCATGGTAAGAGTGGGAAGATAAACATGTCTGTGATATTCAGCTAAGATCCCCAAACCACTTTAGAAGTATATATGCACTTCAGACTATGTTGCCATAAGAATATATCTGTACAGTAGCAGACTCCTAGTTCAGTGACGTATCACACAAAATTAAACTACTGGAAGTATCCCTGGAAAAAGGTAATGACTCCAACCCTATAACTGTACTTAGAACAGGAAGCCAATCACGCTAAGGATAGGGAACCAGATGTATTAGAAACATTTCTGAAACTGCCCTCCCTTGATCACTGAGCTGTGATAACACGAGACATGCCTTAAGATGTTTATACATCAACCTTCTGTTTTGGATTTGTAATCTATATTGAACAATGCAGCCTTCCAATTACATATTGGACTAGATATAGACAAACCAATATTAGTCTCATGTGCTTTTTCGCTACCATATAAAGATGTGCTAAACATCCCTTTAAATCAGGGGTTTCCAAACTTTTCACCATGAGGACCACATAATATAATTTTTCCACATTTCTGAGGACCAAAGGAACATGCGTGCACATATGCACAGATGTACACACTCACTCCTGCCTGCCCACATGCATGCCTGTACACACTCCTGCCCGCCTGCATGTGCACACTGGACAAAAGGCAAAGGATCTGGCCTGTGGGCTATACTTTGGAGACCACTGCTCTAAACGCATGCAGAGAGATAATGTAGTATCCTCCAGTGTAGGAAACAAATTCATATGATTTTCCAGAGCAGCCATGTCTGTGGCTGTTTTTGCTCTTGTTTCTCCTTCTCTCACCTCCAAAAGAGAGAGAGAGAGAGAGAGACTGCTTTTGTCAGAAACAACAGTTTGACTATGGTTGCTGTTTCAACTTATATCCTGCCCCATAATGCTAAAGCACTCTGGGTGCTTTACAACATAATTATGCAAACCACTTTGCGCCCCACCCCCAGGAAGCTGAGTATTCAATTTATCAAGTTCGGAAGGATGGAAGGCTGAGTCAACCTTGAGCTATCTGACCATCAGGATCAAACTCGGGTTGGGAGCAGAGGCTTGACTGCAGTTTAACCACCGCATCACGGCGTCTCCTTCCCATGAACATTCTCTCCTAGAAAAGTGACTATATTGCTGCTGTTGCCTTGAAGCGCAGGCAAACATGAGAAAAACCATAAAGGACCTCATATTTACAGGCAAGACTATAAATATTCTGAGAATTCAGACCAATCTCAAAGAATAATCCAGCCTTCTTCAGGGATCTGCCTAGAGGGAGAGGCAAATGTATGCAAATTGCCTGATAGAATCCCAGCTGTGCTATGCTAAAGAGTAGTCTTGAAATGGATTCCTTGCAGACCAAACAGACAGAAGGTAGAGAAACTCATTCTAACTACTGCAAGTCCATAAGGATTAAAAGAGCTGGGCAGGGGAGGCCTTTTGTGACATCTAAATCAGGTAATGACTTGTCTCTGTCTTCTAGGATATACTTTTGCTTCTGTCCTATAAACTTCAGCAACTAAAGTCAAGTGGCTGCATCTGAACATTTATCTACGCACATGGCTCAGACCCAAAATTTCTCTTCAGAATCAAAAGTTAGCTTGCAGTGCAAAGGAAGAAGACTGTTGTCAATCAACAGGGAGTTAGACAACCTTGTAGATCTATTGCTAAGCTTCTAACTTCTGTCCATCCCAGACCTAAGCAAAGCTGCTGCAACTGGAAATATGATTACATCAGAGGCTGTCCTTCCCTATCCTCAAATGATGTAAGAAAAGGGCCCAGGAAGCAAACTGGATTTTTTTTTCACAAAACCTTCCATTTATGACTCAACTACTTCTAAATATGTCTTCTACTGTTTTTGTCCATGTTTTTATGGTAATACTAGCAGGCATGCAAAGCTTAATTAGGATCATAGTGTGTTCACAATGGTACTTGGTTTAGTGTTTCTTAACCTGGGTGATATCACCCTCCAGGGGGCAATTTCGTTTTTCAGGGGGCGATGGAACGAAAAGGGGTGATGCGGGGGCAATGGAACTGCTGTCCCCCCTCTGCCATTGAGGAAGTTATCATCGCCCCCCTCCCCTGCCGCCAGATCCAGAGCAGCTGGTGCTGGCAGCAGACACCATTGAGGAAGTTATCATTGCCCCCCTCCCCGCAGCCACACTGCCGCTGCGTCACCATCGCACTGCCATCACACCGCCAGATCCAGAGCAGCTGGTGCTGGCAGCGGATGCAGTGCCGCTGCCATTGAGGAAGTTATTGTTGCCCCCTCCCTGTGGCAGCACCACACCGCCACTGTGCCATAGTCGTCGCCGCCGCCGCCGCCACCACAGGGAGGGGGGAGATGATTACTTCCTCAATGGCTCAAGGGGGCGTTTTTTTCAAAAAGGTTAAGAACCACTGCTTTAAACCTCTGCTCTGCCACTGCTGCCTAGAAGACACCAGCCCACTCTATCCCAAAGCTACTGTCACTGAAACCAAGCCCCCCACTGATGCCAATTTTTATCCATGGCAGCAGAGGAAAACGCTAAATACAGAAAGGTTAAGCACCCACATTCCAACCCCAACAGCCTCCATCCTGCACCAATGTATGCATACAATGACTGCCCATTGGGGTGGGGATGGGGTATTTTCAAAAAAAAAGGACCCTGTTTTGGGCCTTAAACGTATTATTCATGAACACATGAGACTACTGGTATTAATCATTAACATTTATACAGCGCTTTTCAAATGCTCCAAAAATGTTACATCTGCTATGTCTCAATAATTTCCACAAATAACCCTATGAAATAAAATAGTTACTAGTAGTCCTATACTGCAGAAAGGAAAGTGAGCCACGAAGTTTGCAAAAAGCCACCTAGATCTAATGATAAAGTAAAGCTCTGAACTAGCAGCACTAGAACTCACATCCCCCCCCGAACATCCATTATTTGAGATTATTTCTTCCTTTGGACGAGATTTAACAGAAGGACAAAAATACAAAAAGGAGCATAGAGTTTAAAAGGGAGCATGTGAAGAAACAAGTTATTTTCTGAACATGAGTGCAGAAATTTCTTACCATAGTCTTGCTTACCCATTGTGCTTAGATAATGGTTGATGGCTTGACATGGGGGGCTGGGAGTCTGGGTTGCCTTGTCACAACTCATAGGTCCAGGACTCCTGTCGGTGTCAAAAGAGAAATACCCACTGGAGGATCGGGACAGCAGTGGGGATCTTCTTACAAACATGAACAACGGGGATCTGGTAGCAAAGGGACTTGGGCTGGAGGGTGGTGCCAATGGTCCCTGAGGACTATTCGGTGATGAACTGTCCCTCTCGCCTGAATTACCTGGATGCTCAGTTGGCAAAGTGGTAGGGGCCCCGGGCCGAAAAGGGTGAGGCTGAACTGGCCTTTCTGCAGGCTGCAATTGTCCACCTTCTCTCTCGCACTCAGAATTTAAATCAGAAGATTGTTTTGCCATTTGATTTTTCTTTCCTTGTCCTGCCAAAGGGGGGAAAAGGGGAAAAAATTCATATTACCTCTAAGATTCACCCAGCCTAGATCAACAGTGATGACTTAAAAGATGGCAATGCAATTACTACTACAATGTTAACAATATAAACTCAGCATTTAAGCGCCCCCTCATGATATCATATACTAATTAACCTGACATGCCACATTTTAAAAAACATAGCTGAAAGTGTTATACCTGTGCTAGCCAATTGGAAAACTTCAGGCAAAACCAGTAACAACAACAACAAAAAGTTTTAAAACAGTACTTTGGCAGTCAGTTTGACCCCGGTTTCAAGTGTGACCATATTGTTGAGGAGAGAGAGGAGCTCAGTTAAAAACGTTTTTTTAAAACTTTTTCAAGAAAAGAAAGCAGAAATATTAGATCCCCAGCCCCTCCCAGACATTAGAAGGGGGGGATGAGATACAGTGTTGAAATGTTAACTGAGGAGTCGATGCCGTGATTGTGCAGGACGGGGAAGTCGGCCAGGCTCTCTCGCTCCATTGTTCTAGCGAATATGCTGATCACAGCAAGTCTGGAAAGATTTGGCAAGAGCCATCAGTTGTAAAGTGCGTCACAATAGTTTGTGCACTGCAAAGTGCTCCTCCGTTCACTCCTCCTTCCCCTCCTCCCGTTACGGCTGCTTCTGCACCGCCAGATCCCCTTCTCTTCGGTGCATCGCAAGAGAGAAAAGACACGGGGAAGCGTCTTCGTTCCGGGACCTTCCCGAGGGAAGATATACCGCGTCTTTGACTCGGCCTTTTGGTGTAGCGCTGGCAAATCCAAAAAGGAGATCCCGACACACACAAGTGGTCACTTCAAGAGGAAACATTACGCCTTCCGACGCTCGCTCTAACTCACCTTTATTTACTTTCTTCCCAAAATATACTACAGGCTCTGACTGGGCTGGGCAAAGCGCTCCATCTCTGCCCGGTGGACAGGCGCGAGCAACAACAGGTTGGCGGAAAAAATGCCGATTTCAAGACAGCCCTGCACCGAGTTGGCAAAATCATCCCAAGGAGGGGACACACAAAAAGGTGTGGAGAAAAAGAGGAGGGGGCTAGAGTCCTGCCCAGGCAAATACCAGCGGGC